AGCTACACCCCAGTCCAGATGGGAGGAATGACGCCTAAACCCTAATATAGTTTAGTCCCATTTCAGCATTGAAAGAAAAACATCCAACCAATGACCTAATCCTATATGTGCAAGCTCCAGTACAGAAACAGAAGAAATATAAAAAACCAATGCCGTGCAACTCCTCCAAAAATTAAGAAATCCACAGAAATGAATTCCTATGAGAATGAACTAGATGAAGTTCCTCCCAAATTCAAAAAAAAATATTATGAGTTTCCTTAACTAAATCAAAGGGAACATACACCTCAAAATGATGAAGGCTATATCAAACGAGCCCATAGCCAGCATATTGGAGAAAAAGTCAAAGCATTTACATTAAAAAGGACTGAGAGAAGGCTTCTGCCTTCTCTGCTCTTATTCCATATAGCACTTGAAATCTTAGCCAAAGTCATAACACGAGAAAAAGAAATACAGATTAGAAAAGGTCAAATTATCTATATTTGCATATGGCATGACCTTATTCATGAGTCCTTATATTTTCCACCAGAAAACTCCTAGAATAGATAAATACTTAAAGTAATAGGATACAAAAAAAAACATGCAAAAACCAGTAGCCTTCCTATATACCACAAATATGTTGAGAAAGAAATCAGGAAAATATTCCCATTCATACCACCTTAAAAAAAAATCTTGGTATAAGCACAATCAAATAAATGATAGGCCTCTACAGTGAAAACTTTAAGACTCTGAAGAAAGAAATTGAAGAAGACCCTAGAAGACAGAAGGTCTTCCTATGCTTATGGATAAGCAGAATTAGTATTTTGAAAGTAGCTATATTATTGGAAGCAATCTACAGATTTAATGCAATTACAATAGTGTTCATCACAAAACTAGAACAAGCAATACTGAAATTCACTTGGAAACATAAAAATTTCTAAAATCCAAAGCAATCCTTAGCAAAAAGAACAATCCTGATGGAATCACCATACATGACTTCAAGTTGTTCTACAGATCTCCAGTGACAGAAATAGCAATATATTGTCACAAAACAGACTTATAGATCAATGGAATCGAGCACTCAGAAATAATCTCATAGCTACAGTCACTTGAGTTTTTACTGCAGTGCTAAAAACATGTTCGAGAAAATGACCTCTTCAACAATTGGTGCTGGGAGAGCTGGATATCTACATGTAGAAGAATGAAACTAGATTTCTGTCTCCTAACTTGCAGCAAAATTAGTCAAAAATGCATTAGAGACCTTAGTGTAAGATTTATGTATTAGTTACTTTGTTTCTGTGATAAAACATCATGACCAAAAGTGGCTTATGCAAGAAAGAATTTATTTTGACTTATGGATTCAGAGAGGGAGTCCATAATGGTAGAGAAGCATGGCAGCAAGTGGCAGTCATAGTGACAGAGCAGGAAGCTAAATGTTCACACCTCCAACAGGAAATAGGAAGCAGAGAGTGAACTGGAAGAGGGACTGGGCTATATACCTTCAAAACCTGCCCTCAGTGATACGTGTACTCCAGCAAGGTGGTGTCTTCCCATAACTTCCCCAAACAGAGCCACCAACTGGGAACCAAGTGTTCAAAATACTTGAGTCTATGGATGCTATTGCTTTTATTTTTTTTAAATAAATCTAAAAAAATATTTATTATTTTTATTTTATGTGTATAAGTGTATTGCCTGCATGTATGTGTGCCCTTGTCATGCCATGGAGATCAGAAGGCTTCGGATTCCCCTGAAACTGGAGTTAAGGAGGGTTCATAGCTGCCATGTGGGTGCTGGGAATCGAACCCAGGTCCTCTGCAAGAGCAGTCAAGTGCTCTTAACCTCTGAGCCATCTCTCCAGCCCCTAAAATAAAAAAAAAATTTAATTGAATTTTGTGTATTTCAAATAGAGCATCTTAATTATCTTTATACACCCTTCCCTATTGGCTCCCTCCCATAGCACCCCACCCCCCAATGGAATTCATGCATTCTGTCATTTGTGTTAAGGCCTATTGTGTCGTTAGTGTCCCCAGACATTCCTCAGTGCAATTTCATCCACTGAGGTCTAGTCAGCCTATCTAGAGTTCCTCCCTTTAAGGAGATCAGGTCTTACCCAGCATTAAACAGCTGCCAATAATTCTTTGGCTAAGGTTGAAGTCTGCTGCCTGTTTTCACAGTTCTGTGCTGGATTTTTATCTGCTTGAGTTTTCATGAGTCTTGTGCATGCTGACACCATTGCTGTAGATATTTCTCATTCAAACCACCACACCTTATAATTCTGAAATTGTTCAGAAAACGGTACTTCAAGATATAGGAGTAGCTAAGGACTTTCTGAAAGGACTCCAGCACCTAGGAAATAAAGCCAAGAACTGAGTAATAGTATTGAATTTAATTTAAAAACTTCTTTATAACAAAAGAAAGTTAATTGAGTGGAGGCAGCCCACAGAATTGGGAAAAATCTTTCCTAACTATATATCTGACAGAGGATTAATGCCTAGACTATATAAAGAACTCAAAACCTAAATAAGTAAATGAACAATCCAATCAGTATGAGCTAATGAAAGTTTGGCATGGTGACATGTATTTATAATTATAGCTCTGGGGAGGTTGAGACAAATAGATCCCTAGCATTTGCTAAACAGCCAGCCTGGTCTACTTGGTGAGCTCAAAACCAGTGAGAGACCCTGTATCAAAAGAGATAGGTAGTGCCTGAGGAAAAACACCTGAGGTTGTCCTGTGATCTCCATATACATGCACACATGTATACATGGACCTGCACATGCATGTGCAGTTATATGCACAACACAATAGGTAAGTTAGCTAATGAATTTAAATCCATCACTATGTACAGTGACTATATACCATAACATTTTATATTAAAGATATTTAAGCAGTGGCATATGTTTTGATTCTCATTGTATTTTGTCTTTTTATTATTTTTATTTTGATATGTATGAGTATTTTGCCTGCAGGGATGCAATGCCCTGCAGAGGCCAGAAACAGGTGTTGGATCTCCTGGAACTGGAGTTACAGACTGTTTTTAGCCACCACATGGGTGCTGGAAATCGAAACAGTGTTCTTAACCACTGAGCCATCTCTCCAGCCCCTGTGTTGTGTCTTTTTGCTAATAGAAGTTCCCTCCGGAGACCCACACTCAGTATCAGTCACAGTCTGAAGACACTTGCAGAGAAAACCTCTAATTACATGGCTTGGCTTCCTGGTGCCAGAAGTACAATAGACAAATTAAGAGAGTATTCCCTAGCCTTAACAAATTTATGAACAAAATAGCTTTTCTCATAACCTTTCTACATATTTTCTGGCTCAATCAGGGCAATGTCCAAGTTAATTTAGAGCCGCACAGTGTTTATCCCTCAATGAAAGAGGCAAGTTGATGGAATGGGCTCACCCCAGAGAAAGCAGCGGTACATAAATTCTCCACTCAGGCTCAGCCAATGGTGGGCTCTATGCAATCTACCCTTCATCTGTCCTGTCCATCATCGGTATCATCACCTCTTGAAGTCATCATCAGGCCAGAGAAACCCAGGATTGCAGAATCATTGGTGCACAGAGTGGTGTGTTGACTCAATTGTGGGTTGGTTGGGTCACTTCAGACTTTTTCATGGTTGTGTTTTTCTCAAGCTCTAAGAGACCTCTGGTCCCTGGGCCACTATCTCCTAAAAGCATCTTCATGGGGTATGTTATCTTTTAACAAAAACTGCAACTCCCTTGGAACTGAGGCTTTGCTCATCTAGTTGCTGCTAGTACTCACTGCTTTGTCCTGGAAATTCTAGCAACAATGAATCACATGTGATTTCCTACTAGTTCAGTGTATAGTTTCATTTCTTTGGCAGAATTGCTTTGCTTTTTTGTTCTTTTCTGACTTTCCCCTACTGAATATCCTAGACTCAGCTTAAATATCACTTCTTCCAAGAAGTGATATTTTTTCCATTGCCTCTGTCTCTTAAAAAGAAAATTGCTTGGGGCTAGTGAGTAAAGATGCTTGCTGCCAAGCCTGATGACTGGAGTTCTACCCCAAGACCCATGTGGTGGAGAGAACAGATCCCTGCAAGTTATCCTCTGACCTTTGCACACATGCTGTGGCACATTTGTGAATGCGCGCGCGTGCACACACACACACACACACACACACGCACACAAAATGTAATAAAAATTAAGACAGCATTATAGAGACACAATTCCATACATATACTCTATCCATTTGCATGCCATTCAGTGATTTTCATATTATTTGTAGAAACATCCAGCCAGTGCCACAGTCAGTTTTAGAACATTTTCATCATCCACAAAAGAATCTCTGAACCCCTTAGGCCTTATCTTCCTGTATGCTAGCACTCTTTCCAGCCCTAAGGAACTAATGATCTACTCTCTGTCCCTCAAGTTTTCCCTGTTCTGGACTTTCACATGGATAGTATCAAATATAGGATTTTTTTTTTACTACTTTTTCCCTTAGGACAATATTTTCAAGGTTCATCTGAATTATGGCATATATCATTACTGCACTCCTTTTTATGGTCAAGTAATGTTCAGTTGCACAGTGCCTTGCACTTACTCATCTACACATTTGGGCTGTTTCCATCTTTGGTCTTCATGAATAATGTTGCTGTGGACATTCACTTCCAAGTTTTGTGTGGCGCACAGTTCCATTTCTCTTGGGTTTGTACCTATGAGCAGACTTGACTGGTCATATGGTATGTCCATGGTTAATTGTTTAAGGACATGCTAGCCTTCTGCAAAGTATCTGGACCATTCACATTCTAGTCTGCAATGTATGAGGGTTTCATTTCCTCCCCATCCTCACAACACTGGGTGTTGTTTGTTTTATTCCAGCCACCCAGAGTGATAACAGTGTGAAGAGATGTCCCTCTGTGGTTTCATCTCCTTTAGGATTTCTCTTTTCATGTATATTTCCTCGCATCAAGACAACACTCCTTGGAATGTAGACACTGAAATGTTGATTGGGGTAGATTGAATAGATTAAAACAGCTGTTGTTTCTTTAAAATTCTAGCAAGTGTCCAGCTGGCACCTGTGATGGCTGTGCATTCTACTTTCTGTGGGAGAGTGCTGAAGCTTGCCCTCTGTGCACAGAGCATGACTTCCATGAGATAGAGGGAGCCTGCAAGAGAGGACTTCAGGTAAGGCTAGCCATGCAGGTGTTCTCTACTGATGTCAACTTCTGATACTCTGCATGTCAGTGAACAAAGGTATATTTATTTGAATGTTAAAGCTTCATGAGTGAATAAAAATAATTACTGCAAAAATACTTCCATGTTTGAGGTTGCATGGGTGGCACCATTTGCTGTAAGTTCATATAAGCAAGTTCCCAGAAGCCTGGAAGACTCTTTTCTTGTGGTCCTGCACCACTCCTGGCTCTTACAATCTTTCTGCCCCCTCTTCTGCAATGGCCCCTGAGGTCTAATATAGGAGTCCTATCCAGGAATAAGCACTCTATACTTTGACTAGTTGTAGTCTGTGTTAATGGCACTCAGTTATATGAGGAAACCTCACTGGTGAGTTTCGAGAAATGCATTTGTATTCTCTCTACCCCTCTATTTCACTAGGTTCCATGAGCCTTAGATGTAGAGATTCCATTGTAGATATGTCACTAAAAACCTAGCACAGCACTGGGGAAATGGGTAGGAGGCCCCAACCTTAGTTGAGGAACTCTTGGCAGCTGGTGACTGCTGGGTAAGGGAGAGTTGGTATTCTTTAAGAGAGTGATACTAGATAGACTGAACAGGCTCCAGTTGATGAACTTGCACCAAGGGACATCTGGGTACAGAGACTTGATAAGCCTTAACATAATGACAGAGTGCATGAAATCTGCTGGGCAGGCTTGGGGGTGGTGCAGATAGGGGAGATGGGTCTAAACATGATTCGATGTATGAAATGCACAAAAATTCAAATGTCTCAGTAGGTATCTTTAAAATTTTAATCATTTAATTTTTAAGGACTGTTTTAGTCCTATTTCCTGCCCCATCCTTTTCAATTTTCTGCTTTATGTTGACTGGGTATGCACTTCCACTATTCTGTAAATATTTCAAATACAGATGTGTATGGTGTTAAGTTTACACAGTTTAAGTCCTTCACATATATTTGACAGATGCAAAAAGGTCTACACAGCTTGTGATAAAGTGCTTTTATCAAATTGAATTTGAAATCCATGCCAGTTTCTAAGCATGTATTAAGCACTATAGCTACAGTCATGCAGTAGTAAAGATTTGAAGTGATGCTGTGTTATCACTAGAGAAATGTTTTTAAGTTTATCACCAAATTTATCTTAATCCTGTTCAAAAATCTCTCACACGCTGGAAGAATAAATCTTTTAGCTACTGTGTCAGCCGTCTGCTTGTTTTGTCATAATATGTGATTGGTTGATGAGATAAGACTTTCTAGTGAACAGTTTAAAAGTGAACTTTCTCTAAGTTTTGCTTCTCTGACAGTATCTGAGGAGCTTATTGAACAGTTAAACATTCTGGGTTTACATGTATCTTTTTAATTTTTAATTTGTAAGGTCCTTACAACATAGACACTAGACATTAGAGTTTGCCATTTTCAGTTTTATGCAAAATCACTTGAGCCCTTAGAAAATCTTTTTGTTGTTGTTCTTGCCGGAATGCACTTCAAATGCAGTCAGGATTTGCTGGGCAGAGTTTGCATTTTTCGCTGACTTGCACTCACTTAGGCAGCGGGTGAATCTGAACAGGCATCTGCATTTCCCACCTCTCCATTCTTATAAAAATGTGATGCATTTCAAAAATAATTTGTTGATTCTCAGTTTAATTAAAATGGTAACAATTGTCATGGACTAAAATTCATTCACTAGTATCCTCTCCAGTAAAAGAAACACGCTGAGAGATCTTATTTGAAACTTGGTTGAAACTTTTCCTCAAAATAAGTGATTCTCATGCATGTTAGTTCATAACTAATGATAAAAGTATGTTTATGCATGTAAGATATAAAGTTAAACATGGTGTAATCCTTTTATTAGAGTCTTGATAAAATGACCATTATATACCAGAAAATTTAAGGAGGAACTTCACAAAAGATGAAATACCCTGTGTTATTGAATGTCATTAAATTTAATCATCGTGTGATATACTACTGGTCACAATATATATTAGCTGTATAAGGAAGCATGTACTAAACTCTGATTTTCATCTTCGATTTGCCTTATTTAATTGCTTTCTTTTCACAAATGCCTAGCAAGACCAGTGTATTGATTTTTATTGTTCAGTGGTTAATTATAACTTACTGTTTGGAAAACATTGCTTTAGGAATGAACCAACTACTTCTGGAGGATGAGATTGCTTGGTGTGGGTAGTGGTGAGCTGAATAATGCCATCTTTATTTTGGAATATGGAAGAAGAATGTGGTCTGAGTACCTGCCCTTACACAAGCCACTTAAATTGGCCAGCTGTGGGGCACCCCAGGGTCTGTTGCTGATGTCACTCACAGACAGCTTGTCAGATTAATGGGCCTGTCTGGTGGACTGATGAATTCATTCCAATTAGTTGTATTAAGCAGCCTAAACTTGCATTCAAGAATATGGTTAAGAAGTCTGGAATCAAAATTTTAGGAAGGGAGCTCAAAAGATGTGTCAAAGTGGGATGATTTTTTAAATGATTTTTCAGTCTATTTCCCAAGTTTTTAATTTAAATGTTTAACTTTCTGAGAATTTCATGTATGAGTCCTACATTTACATCCTTTCCACTCCTCCCTCACTTCCTCCAACTCCTCCCATCTTCCCCTCTCCACCCCCTTTCAATTTCTCCTTATTGTTCAACTTCTTCAGCATGTAGTGAACCCTTCTGATGTGACAATCCATGTCTTTATTTGATTTGGGCATTTTAATTTATTACTTCTCTATTTCTATAATATTAAATGAATGAAAAATACCCTTCATACCTATGAGTGAAGGATTAGTGAAACTCCTTTCTCTATATGATAAATTGACCCAATAACATATCTAGCTTTTACAATAGAGTCCAAATCACATTTCTCATGTCCTTTATGGTTTCACTTATTTATTTTAAAAGGAAACCTTATATGTATGGAATGAACCCAAATGGTGCATTAAAGGAATTGCTTTGCCTGAGAAAAAGTTGTCGACCTGCGAAACAGTTGACTTTTGGCTAAAAGTGGGAGCTGGTGTTGGGGCCTTCACAGCTGTTTTGTTGGTGGCTCTAACTTGCTATTTCTGGAAAAAGAATCAAAAGTAAGTAACTCCACTGGAATCATCATATGAGAAATGGAGGGTCTGTTTATGGTGTGAAAATTTTAGGCCTAAATATATCTAACAAGAAATTTCTTCTGGTGAAGGAGTTATAGCAAAGCCTTTGAGAAAGTAAGTAGAAAAATGATCATTTTGGTAACTGAAAGTGAATAGAACATTAATGACCACTGAATTAGCCATCTGTTGTGACTTTTTAAAAGTCTCCAAATAGATCAGAAATGAGCAGAGCTGTGACAGGAAGGTAGTCCGTTTTCTTGGGGGTTTGCTTTTCTTTCTATTACATCATCTGTCTTCTTGTAGGAGGATATGTGCAAAGAAACAGACTAAGCATATAGGCAAATACCACCTTTATTTACACCAAGTCTCCAAGGATCTGGGACTGAATATTGAGTCATCCCTGAATGTATATTGATTTGTTAGATGGTTTAAATCTTTTATGATGATTTTATAGCTCATTGGAGCTGTTGAGGAATCTGTGTTCTAATATCTAAGAACAATTATAATCTCTGAACTAGTAAGTAAGTAACGTACAAAGGCATGAATGAAGTAGACATACAGTAAAAAGATAATCACCTGTGATATCGTCATCTTTATGATCAAAACTTTAGAAAATGTGAAAGTGAATTAGCTCCTTCACATTAATAAATTAAGGAAGTGCATTCTGACCTTAAGTTTTTTCTTTGTTTTACAAACATTCTTCATAATTGGACAGTTCAGTCAATATAAAGTAAGTGGTAAAATTAACTATATATAACTTTAAATTCTTTGACATCTGTGAAATATTTTTATGTAGATGATTGATAAACAAAAACAGTTAAAGCTATGGCCACAGGTAAGGGAAATTTATTGGTGGAGAAACTATACAAGACAATTTGAGGAACTGATATACTTATAAGTATGACTTTACTGTTACTAGAAACGGCTACCTTATTAATTAATTAATTCATTCATTCATTCATTTACCACTGCTTAGGCTGGAGTACAAATATTCCAAATTAGTAATGACAACTAACTCAAAAGAATGCGAACTCCCAGCAGCAGATAGCTGTGCTATCATGGAAGGAGAAGACAATGAAGAGGATGTTGTGTATTCCAACAAACAGTCACTTCTTGGAAAACTCAAATCTTTGGCAACGAAGGTGAGAGCCGAATTTTAACCTGGAATTCCTGAGCATTTATTTATTTATACGTTAGGAGCCATTGTGACCGAATGCCGTTAATGTGAGCTCTGCCATGTAACATATTTGTATCTGATTTACCCAACAGAAATACTCTTAGACGTTTATGATATAAATATGGGGGTAATGGCTGAACACTGTATTTTCTAGTTAACAAGTAAAAACTACCTTTTAAAGCTTCCATAAGGAGTTAGATGAGAAATTTTTGTATATGAAGATAATGGAATACTGTGTGACTTTACAACTACTAAAAATTGAATTATCTATGTGTGGTGATATATCAGTAAGTCCCAGTAAAGTGAGAAGTAAACTATGACATTTCTATAATATAAATATTTATATATTATTAGTTACATAATAAGCCATTAATAGTAGCTGCTTTGGGGAATTGGGAACTAATGAGTCTTTGAAGTCAATATTTTAGTAATTCTCATTTCACAAAGATCATGTGTCATTTTATAATTTAAGGAACAAAGTTGGGTTAATAAAACATCTCATATTTATCTATACTTCTGTGTTTATTTTACAATAAGATTATTTTCCACAGAGGAATAAGAGTCACTGAGGAGGGGTTTATGGTACCTTACTGGATGTTATCATGTTATTGACTTTTTAAGGACAACTATATCAAAGACAATGTGAAACCTTAGATATTGTTAGAAAGCTCGTTTCTTTGACATTCTTCATCATTGAGGTAGGAGATAAAAATAAGCAGCTTATCTGCTCAAAATAAAATTAGAATGAACCATAAGGAAGAAAATGCTTTTTAAATGATTTGCAATGGTAAACAAGTGACAACACTGGTATTTGGGCTGGGGAGATGGCTTAGTGGTTAAAGCACTTCCAGTACAAGCATGAGGACAAGAGTTTGGATTCTCAGAACTCACATAAAGGCCAGGTGGGCATGGTGGCTTACTTGTAATTCCAGCCTCAGAAGGTGGAGACAGGATGCCCAGAGCAAGCTGCCTAGCAAGATGAGCCGTATCTGTGAGCTCTGGGTCTGCTAGAGGGAGTCTACCTCCATGAATAGGGTGATAGGGTGGAAGAGCAATCAGGAAGACTTTGGACATCAACCTCAGGCCTTTGCATCCATGCATACACATGTGTACTGACACACACACGTGAACATTCATATATACATATCACATACACATAAGAAAATGGAAAAGGAAAAATCATGGTATTTATACACCACAGTATTTAGCAACTATTTCCTTTTACCCTTCTAATTTATGCACATAAATATAGGAGATCATTTAAAATAAAGCAAATAAGCCATCCTCCCTTTCTAGTAAAATTGTTTTTATTATTTTAGGATGTTTATGGAGTTATGATTGCAGTGGAATTACTAATAGTAATTGTCAAGAATTAAAGTTTTACTTGTAATGCTAATTACTTTTGCCTTTACTTCTTCACATCTCCTATTCACCAGTCAAGGCCCCCCCCCCCCCCAGATAAAAGAGTTATGCAGTTTTGGAGTCTTTTAGATAGACCCACTGAAGAGGTACCCCAGTTGCCTCACCCTGAGTCCCTGTTCAGCATGGAAGAAGCCAGAGTGGTCTGTGTCCCGATTCCCTATTGGCAATTTGGGTAACCTCTTCAGAGGATGGTGTGATAAGAATAGGAGGTAGGAATTGGCTAGGCAGTTAGGATAAAAAGACACCGAAGAAAAGTAGCCAGTTTCTCAGCTAAAAGTCACAATGTCCTTCAGCCTTTTAACAACATATTCTGTTCCAAAGGCCAAAAAATGTCAAAAGTATTTGGGAGCTTTTATTTAAGCCTTAAAAGATTTTAGGGTTACATCTTCAGAGGGGGCAATGTTAGAGTAGCAAAAAGCCCCATAAGAAAATAAAAGAAGAAAGAGTACATGAAGTTATCAGAAAAAAGTGGTGAGGAGATATGGGAGGAGTTGGAGGGGAGGGAGTGGGCATGGATTTGATCAAAACACCTTATATGCATGTATAAATTTCTCAATAAATTATTTTTAAAAAAGAATTAAAGTTTTACCCTACTTTCAGGCTAGCAAGTGAGCCTATCCACAGTTTTATTGTTAGTTTAGAAGACAGAAGACTCATGGTTAGAGATTAAGGACAGTTCAGTATCTACAGAGAACTACTGGACAGAGCAACAGTATTTATACCAGTTTCTGAAGTCTCAGTTCCCACAGTGATATGCAGAGGAAATGATGATGCATGCTTATATTCCAGGAAATAAGACCTAAGCTTTGAGAATGTGAATTATCAGTACGAGGGGCAAGCATACTTGTCCTTACTCATTATTATACCAGACAGAGAACATGCCTGTCCATTGCTTCAGAGGGAGAAACCACTTTCAAATCAAGAAATAAAGGCTGGTCTTTGCTGTAGGAGGAGAAAATATCTTATGTTTGAAGACTGCTTTCTGTTCAAACATTGTTTCTTAAAATATTTTTTATTGTTTGACAGGTTCCATACATTTATATAATGAATTTTAGTTATTTTCATCCCCCTTTCTTTAAAATATTTTACTTTTTATTTTTTGTGCATGAGTGTATTGCCTACTTGCATGTAAGTGCACCTGTGTCATGCAATGCCCAAGGACGTCAGAAGAGGGTGTTGGAGTCCCTGCAACTCTAGTTACAGATGGTTGTTAGCTGCCGTATGGGTGCTGAGAATCAAACCCAGGTCCTCTGTAAGAGCAGACAGGTCTTTTAACTGCTGAGCCATCCTTCCAGCCCCTCTTCCCCCGTTCTTGAAAAGACAGTATGGAACAAAAATGAATCAACATTTTCTTCACAGAATGTGCAGAAAGGCAAGAGATCATAGAGGATTATCTCACAATATCTAAACCTCATTTCTCTGCCATCTTGGCTTCTGATGAATTTTCTTTTCAGTAAATTCTGCTCACCACTTTGGTTAATATGACTGACTGAGACTGGTATAAAATTTGGTCAATCTGCTTCATAACATTTAAATGAAGATGGGGTCAATGGGGTGTCAAGTACCAAGATTAGGGCAGTTTGCATTACCAACCTTAACCATACACTGATCCCCAAATGCCATAAACCATTACTTGAGAACAGGAGGTGGCTTACTCCTTTTCTTTGTGTTGATCTTTCTACTCAGCCGGACACTTTCTACTGGCAGAATGCTATTTCCTCCATAAGATTCAAGTGGAAGAGGGACAAGGAATCTTCAAAACTTAGACACCTAATGTGCTTCCCACTTTTGTCTATGTGGGCCATGATAGGGACATTCAACTCGGTGGCAACTGCCATTTTGATTTAGGATCATGGCAACCCAACAGGACAATCCGGGTACAACAGGACATATTAGTGGCTATACAACTTTTGTTTTGGCCTTCTAGCAGGAATTATAGGGTAACGATGTTGTCTATAATAATATACAATTAGCTGATGTTGACCTGAATGCCCGCAGAGGAAGGGTTATTGATTACTGTATTGGTTTGAATGAAGAATGTTCCCCCTAGACTCAGATATTTGAACGCTTTGTCTCTATTTGTTGACACTGTTTGGGAAGTCACAGAATCTTTGAGAGGTATAGCCTTGCTGGAGGAAGCATGCCACTGGAGGGAGGCTTTACAGTTCATAGCATTGCTCTACTTCCAGTTTGCTGTCTGTTTCATGTTTGTGGTTCAAGACACGAGCTGTCAGCTTCCTGCTCTGGCTGCCTGCTTCCAGGCCTCCCCCACTTTTATGGACGCCTCCTCTGAAACCATAGCCCAAATAAACTCTTCCTTCTATAAGTTACCTTGGTCATGGAGTTTTATCACAGCAACAGAAAAACAGGCAATATAATTACTTAAAGTCAGAGACAAATTTCCTGCCACCTTTGCTAATTGAACAACTGTGCATAGGATAAGTATGACCACCAAGTCAGTAATTTGTACATTTTGGAGTGCTTCTTTCAGTTCTCTAGGGGCTGCATGATCTATTTTGGACATTTACATGATTGAAAATTTGTCAGCCTGTCAATTTGGCTAATGTACAGTTCAAATCACCATGTTTTAAGGAGATAAACAGGTTAATTTCTGATTTCTATATAAGAATTACAGTGTTAGATGTGTATATGGTGTCTCTGGAATAAAATACTAGTTACAGTTGTTGGGGAGCCAAGTGAGACCTAACGTCAGTTAGGGAGCACAAACTGACTCTTTGAAAAGGAGCCTTCTTGATGGCTAATAAACGTTAGGGGTTTCATTCATCCCAAATAATTGTGCCCCTTCTCTTTCTTGACAGAAATCAGTTCAACTTTTTTTGTCTACTCCACAAATGGGATGGTATTTGCTTACCCCACAGACTGGCTGATGGCTATGGGAACAGGGTGTTTGATTAATATTATTCTGGGACAGGGGATGGGACCATCCCCCCATACATATGATAGATTTCTTAGTAAGCTTAAAAGATATGGCCATAAAATTATGTTTGGTGCTTGTGGTAAATGTGGCAGACAAAGAAGTCATTGTAAATATTTGTAAAAATTTGAGAGGGCATTTTTCTTCATAGGATAGTGACAGAATGACTCAGAAAATGATCAGTAGTACCCCTCCTTCATGCTGCTCAGCATCTAAGAGATGTGTTTCCAAGTGCCCAGTCAACTGCCTTCCATCCTTTCCTAGCCAGTGTCCCATCTAAAGCTACATCTTCACCTTATTTCTACTTGTCCTCAGTTGGAACCAGATTTATCCACCAGAGCATTCTAATGCAAGAGGGCTAGGGAGTTTTAAAAAATGTATAGAGACCCAGTGTATGCCCTGCTTTTGCCTCTGTGGGCCACGATAGGGGGCAGAGTAAGCAGTATATACAAGGGATTATTCTCTTGATCTAGGGTCATGACAATACAAGGCAAAATTGCATTTGCAGTTTTGTAATATGCACGTTACCCTATTTCCTGATTGTTATCTATAAAGTCGTAGTTAGTGGCCAAATTGCCTCTCTAAGATGTGTGAGGGAGGTGAAGGAG